TGATATTCTGTAACACAGGCTTATGGTACAAAATGCTGAACAATCAAGAGGAAAAGCAAGTTGAAAAGACTTTAGCATTAGTTTGTAGATTGTTGTTGTTATTTTTGTTTGCCAGCATGAACATTTTGCTCTAAGGGTGATAATTTTAGGCTAGTTAGGATAAGAGTTAATAAATGGTGGTAGATAATGTTCCAAGTGTTAGTCACAAAGACACATGCATACTATTCTGAATTTGTTTTGTATTGAGAACAATAATGTTATAACTCATCTATAGTTCCCATTTTCTTTGTTACCAAAACAAGTTTATAAACTAAATGAACAGAATTCCACATGTGGGTTCTCTTGGTTTTGGTTTTACTACCAAAAATGTATTTTGTGGCCTTTCTAAATGTTCATTAGTTCTTCAGACCATCTGGAATGCATATGAAATCTCTTTATGTATTTTTACTATCAAATAATTCTGAACAACTCTTTAGTTTTTTTTTAACTTAATGTGACTAAATTGTCATTAAATCTCCTTTCTAAAGTAGAGCATGGAATCTGTTAAAACTGAAGTGTACCATTATCATTTTCTGTAATGTTTTCCAAGTATGCTCTCCATCCATGACAAAAAGGGAAGCACAAGTTCAGGGACTGGCAGTTGTGTCGCAGCATGAGTCCAGTAATGAGAGGGAAAGACTTCTAGGCAGCTTGAGAGAAAAATTTTAAGATACACTTGAGAGTAAAACAGGCTTTGTTACACTGTCAAAGTTGCTCAAGTGATTGATGGTGTATATGTAGATGCAGAAGAGGTGTGTCCTTTACACATGTAGAAAATCTTGCCATTACAAAGTGCTATTTTGTTTGATTTGGAGTACTTCGGAAGATTTAAAGAAATTACAGATTATTTTTTTTAAGTGGATGCTGTATGCTGGTTTGTATGTGGATATTTTCACTGGTTTAAACAGTCATTCACATTAATGTGGTGATACCCTTTCACTTGTTGCTCAAGAGTGTGCTCCCCTGAGTGTCCTCCTTAGGAGAATTTGTTTTAGTAAGAATAGTTAAAATGAAAATAAGAAGTTAATAAATTGATGTGTTTGGAGAAATTGTAGAGATGGCAAAGGTGAGTGGATTGAGCTTCTGGTAAATAATTGAAAGTTCCTACAACCTGTAAAACAGGGACAGAAGAAAACCTTATTTCTTCTTTCTATCAGAAGACTATTTTGAAGGTAATGGAGAGATAAAAAGTGAAAAGGGTGGAAGCCTGTATCCTTTAACTGGGTTAACTTAGGAAGGGGGTAGTGTAGTTCAGCAGTTTTGAAACCCGGTATGTAGTAGCAGATAAGGTATGATGACTCAGATGTAGCAGCTGGCAGATTTTAGAGGACTGATAGCGTCCAGGAGGGAAGTGGTGACAAACAACTGAGCGTGGTAACGTTTGTTACAGGGAGGTCGGAAGGGGTGACTGTCCTTGGCCTCGGTCGGTGTGCTTGCAGCCAGAAAAAGGCACTCGTCTCAGGAAATTGTAGAAGCTTTGGGGGGAGAAAATCTGAAATAATGTAAAATGAGAGGAAGTAACATGTAGATTATGAAGCAATATAGCTTTTTAATAAAAGTGTAGGATAAAGGTGTTGCCCTTTTGCTGTAATAAGTATATATACAAGTTCCTGGTGTCTAAAACTGTCTAGTGAAAATTCCCAGGGTAAGAATTATTATAAATAATTATGAATACTCATACAAACAGATTAAGAAATTATCTGAACCTACATGGTTGTTTTTTGACAAAATTAATACAGAACATACAGTAACAGGGGCATCTGCCATGGTTTATCTTCAGCTGACAAGTGAGCACCAGACAGCCACTTGCCCATTCTCCCTGGGTGGGATAGGGGAGAGAATGGGAAGGGTAAAAGTGAGAAAACTAGTGGGTTGAGATGAAGACAGTTTATCAGGTAAAGCAAAAGCTGCGTGTGCAAGCAAAGCGAAAGAAGGAATTCGTTCACTGCTTCCGTCGGCAGGCAGGTGTTCTGGCATCTCCAGGAAAGCCGGGCGCCATCACACCCAACAGTTACTGGGGAAGACAAGCGCCGTCATTCTAAACGTGCTCCCCTTCCTCCTTCTTTCACCAGCTTCTGTTGCTGAGCATGAGTCACGGTATGGGCTATCCCGTTGGTCGGTTGGGGTCAGCTGTCCGGCTGTGTCCCCTCCCACTTGCGCACCCTCAGCCCACTGGCTGGCGGGCGGTGTGAGGAGCAGGAAGGGCCTTGACGCTGTGTGAGCACTGCGCAGCGAGAACGGAAACATCCCGGGGTTATCAACGCTGTTTCCAGCACGGATCCAAACCACAGCCCCGTGCCAGCTGCTGGGGAGAAACCGAACTCGACCCCAGCCAGAACCAGCACAATGTGACTGATTTAATATAAGCTTTGCGTAAGCGTGTAGATCTGTCATACTCAGTGGACCGGTTCATTTCTAAGGTTGTAGGTGAAATTTTGCTATTATTTCTTGTGTTTTATATCCCCAAAGGTTCCGTTTTTGGTAGTAAAAAAAGCTTTTGTTATTTTTACCTGTTCAGCTTCTGACAAAGTAGAATCTTAAATTCATTTTTTGCTGTCTTCATATCATAACAACATTACTGCTCAGGTTTTCTTGAATTTTGTGAATAATTTTAAACAATAAAAACTATTTTAAGAAGGCTTTTTATTATTACAGTTAACAGAGTCCTTAGTGCTTTTTTGTCAGTAAGGCTGTACCTATTAGTTAACGAAATTGTATGGTTTTTATTTACTTTGATATTCTATTGCAGAAATAAATGCTTAAGCAATAACTGAGTTTCTTTTGTAGGCGTGTACTAATTGAGATTTAGCAATCTTGAAAGAAATTTAATTAGTGAGGTATATAACTAACCAAGTTTTATTTTGTGTTTTAACAGTGAAAGCAAGTTGAATACATTGGTGCAGAAACTTCATGACTTCTTGGCTCACTCATCGGAAGAATCTGAGGACGCAAACTTTCCTCCAGCGTTACCTAAAAACAAAACCATAGGTAAAAAGATGTTTTATGTTTTATTTTGAATCCATTCATGTTGTTATTTCACTATATTGTACTTCACTGGGGCAATTATGCAAAGTCCTAGTGTGATTTAAGTGGTGATATATTAAATATACAAGAGGCCTTTGACACAATCTTTCTTTCAGTTCCAAATCTTTTCTAAATGTGACAAAAAGCTCATCCTACTGGCAGTTTACCTTCTGTGAAACAGGAGATGTCAAACATGCATGTGTTCACTATGTTCAGTTTTCCTGAAGGTGTGAGTGCAGTATCTTGTTTGCTTTGAAAAAGATTTCTGCGTGTAATCTGGAAACATTTGAAAACAAAGCAATACTTCTGAAAAACCTCGAGACCTACACTAGGTCAAATTTAGTATTAGAAATTTTTGTTTACAAGTTAGAAACAGGTAATGAATTTTAAACACTTTGTTTGGATTACAGTCATAAAAAGTGAAATTATTTCATAACAGTACTGAACAGGATTTGTTTCCAAATTTAACTAGGTTAAAACTGTTTCCTACTTTAACTAGGACTGGATACAGATGCAAAACCTTCAATCTCTGCTGTTTAATGAGCTAAAAGTTGTGTTGAAGAGATGGAGTACAGGAGAATGAGAGCGTGTTGGCTGTGTTACAGAGTTTATTTTCAAACTCCTGTTGTCCTAAGTAATAAACTTAACAAGGTTTTTCTGGTGTGCAGTCATTATCTTTTAATGTTTTGTTTTGAGAGAGTCTGCTGCCATGTGGCGCTAACCTCCTTGTGTCAGCATCAAACGGAACTATTAACATAGGAAAAAGAAATTATTCATACTCTGATACTTCAGCAGAATAATAAACTAAGCAGTGGTGTGGCTGCATCTCAGAGTCAAATTTTGCTGAGGAGCATACTGGGAAAAAGAAATCTTTTCCCTTTACCCTGTGTGGTTGCAAAGTAGAATTTGGCTGCTTGCCTTAAAATACAGATGTAGTTTGAAACAGGGTTACACTTACTAAGAAATAGCAGCCATGTTTTGCTCTCAGATGTTATTTCTTAAAAAAAAAAATTAAATTGAAAAGTTGAGAAGTAAACATTTAAATATTAGGAAATTTCAGAATAAACTCTGCAAATTTACTTCCCCTCCCAACTTTCTGTGCATGGTGATACTGTGTTTAACAACTGTATCATTTTTCTTTTTAATCCACAGGATGCTCATTCAATGTACGGGTGATGGACATGTTTGGGGCCAAATCTGGTTTACGTAGTAAAGGAACTCGTTTTGTTCCACCATTTGGAGGATATGTGAACTACTAGATAGAGTGTTGTGAGGAGGGAGATGATGATGAAGATAGTTAAGCATGGCTCAAGAGAGTTGGATCATGTACCTGACACACACAGAGGTCAATTACAATATGAAGCAGTTGCTGGCAGAGCACTGCTATCTCATGCACTGCTGTGGAGCTGAACTGTACCATAACGCTTATGTGCTAGGAATGATAAGTAAAGTGAAATTGCTCCCGTAACTTTCATTTTGGCTTTTCATAATGTTGGAGTACTTGATTTTACAGCCTGAATAATGTTTCTTTATCCTCTCTGCATTTAAACTGGATGTCTCCCTCCTCTACTTTGTGTGGGTGCCAGCAGGTGAATCACTGAGAGCGCAGATGAGCGTGCCTTCCTGCTGTTGTTGCATGTGACCAGCCCGTGCCTTGGAGCGGCAGTCACAGGGGAAATCCTGCGCTCTCATAGCCCCGAAGCACGGGATGCAGCAAGTGCAGCTGGGTCAGTCCTAGGAGCTGTGAGGGGATGCAGCGTGCTCCGTCATTCCATGGGCTGGCGCACCTACGGCCCAGTCACACATACGGACTGACAGTGGAGCATCTTCTGTTGCTTTTGGGAGTAATGCACGTGAAGTCTGGTTAGCAGTCTGAATGCAGAAGCTACAGAGGCTGTAGCTTCCAGATGCAAAGAAATCTACTGAGCACGTACAAACTGGTATTTCCCATGGGTGTATCACTTGGGCAAAACTGGTCGAGAGTAGAAGGTAGGCAGCATCTAGTCTCCAGAAGAAATGTTACCCTTCTAAATTTCAGGTTCTTTCCTCAGAATGGGGGAATGCTTGTAATATTGCAGAACAGAAATTTCAGGTAGTTAAAAGGGCCAAAACCTTGGGCTGTTTCCTTTTTTTTTTTCTCTCCTCCCTTAGCTTTACATACAGAAATGGCTGGATAATTTTGGCTGAAATTTAGCCAAACAATTCAGCCTAGGTCAAATACCCAACATTAAATTTTTGAATCACAGTAATTTAATTTTTTTGAAGTATGAAAGAAAATTGTTTGTTTTTCCCAAAACTGAAGTGTAACGCTGCAGTGCTAGCAGTCGTATGCTAAAATCACAAATGGTCATGATGTGTGTGCTGTAATTATATGGCCACGTCACTTGCATGTTTCTCAGTAGTGCATCTATTAAAATACTGCGATTACTAAGCCTTTCGAGCAACTTCATACAAGTGTCATTGAATCACTGAACTTGAAACTTTCCCTTCATTTTCCATCCAGCATGGACTGCTGGATGGAACAGATACAAATAGGTTGCATGTCTTTAGATTGTATCTGCCACAGTTCCCAAGGTCAAGAAACGGGAATTCTCTGTCATGCCCTGAATCAAATGGGCTTTTTGTCTGTGGTTCTGTGATTTCAGATTTAATAATGCATTTTTAATGTCAAGATGTATAAGAGAAAATACTTTTAAGTAACTTCTTGGAGATTAAAAAAATGCACTAACTGTATTTTTTCCGCATATACAGTTACACTTTCATTTCTTCAATATTTCTTCACCAGTGGGAAGGCTGTCTTTCAGCCTGTTAGCACCTTAACTGAAAGTAATTTCTAAATGATTTCTGTAACAATTATGCCATACAGTGGGCTCTGTTTTGTTGTGCAATAGTTTGTCTGTGAAAGTCACACAGTCACTTTATTCATGCTGGTGAAACACAAACGATGCTGTGACATACAATGAAGAACTTTTAATATTTCTCCCATTTCAGTGGATTCCTTTAATTTCTCTCCATAGGTAAAAGTAGAGAGCCCAAAAGTAGTCCAGCTTCAATGGAGAACAGTAGAGAAGAGGTAGGAATAAAAATGCTTTTGAATTTTAGTTGCATGACTAGTGCAGAATGGCTAGTATAGAAAATGCTGAGTTCACTCTGTTCATTTTACAATAAATTTGTAAAGAATATTGTCAGAACCATGCGGTAAATGTCATCATATCTGCTGAATAGAAACATTGGCTGTAAAAGACTTTAAATTTAAAATTAAAATTAAATTTTGAATGATACTTTGATTTAGGCATATGCATGCAATCCTGTTTCTCCCTGCACCTGCTTTATTTCTAAATTATTGAAATACATTCATTTACTTGGACAACTTCATTGTCTTTCTGATGCACAATAATTCCTGGGAAAAATGTCGCTAACAGTTCAGAGTGTTAGGTTTTACTAACCTGAGGTATGCAGTTGCGTTTTTGTTAAGAAATGCAGAGTGTTGTTAATTGATTCAGATTAAGTATATGCAGAGTGAGTTTTTAAAGAAATTCGGTTAATATTCTTTTGTCCTTATTCTGTTCTTCAGCTTATGCGTAAGCAGGCACTTACTTATTTTTGGTTTAAAAGAATTGGCTTCTGCCTCATATTGACACACCGTGATACTCAGATAACAGTAGGTACTTAGTTGTCCTTCTAGGCAAATATGCTTCCTTTATTAAAAAAGAGAAAAAGATGGAGATGCAGGATCTTTGTTAAACATGAGCAAATTTGTTCTATATAGTGTTATATACATCAAAGACATTTTTCACGTGGTATGTCTTACCAGTGTCTGCTCTCCTGGTGGAAACATTCTGGTTGACAATATGGTAATACGTAGAGAAAGCGCAAGTGCCAGTGTCCTGCCTTAGTTTGTCTTTACTGCAGTAAATTCAGATATTTATTTGGTAGTGTCCAAACCTAGTTATGACATGTGTGCATAAACATCTGAAAAATCAGTTTTTCTGTAAAGACAGTCAGCCCTTTCTGGGATAGGAGCCAGACACCAAGTGTCTGCATTCTGCTGGCAGTTCTTGGGTGCGTGCTAGTGACAGGTCCCCAGCGCCAGCCAGCAGGAAGCCTCCCTATCTGTAGGTCAGGAAAGATGATGGTTTCTTCATATGGTCTGAAAAACATTCATAGACCTGCGTAAGCTCCTGCAGCACTAAGTGCTGTGATGAATCCCAGTGAATTGTAAAAAAGTGGAAATGCACAGCGATGTGGAGGCAGGTGGCTATGTGTGAGTTAGGCTGTTCTTCCAAGTGACGATCACGCAAGGCAGCACTGCAGTGACGATCCGCAGAGCAGGAGGCCGCAGAACGGTTTGTGATTAGGACCGACCGGTGATGGCGAGCCCTTCTCAGTCCTTGCTCTGGAAAACTTAGACAGCTTCCAGCAGGTAGTGCAAGCTGAGAATTGCAAGGAGAGTGTTTCCTCAATTTCATGAAGACTCAGTGTGTGGGACAGGTTCAGTGTTTCTCTTTGAGTGTCTCAGCTTGTAACAGTGCCCTCTCTTATTTGCTCTTCAGATATATGCATGGGGAGGGTAGTGAGCGTTAGTGACTTCGCTTAGAGTTTGATGACACCTACTTTTAAATCTATTTTTAAAAGAATAATGACTTCTTGGAATCTTACTGCTGATCTGAAACTCCATAGACTTAGTTTAACTGAACTGGCATGACCATGGAATTTGTGTGTCACTTTTTGTTAATGCTTTTACTGCTTTTTTTGTTTGTTTGTTGTTGTTGTAAGAGCACTGGTGACTTCTGAGATGTGTGTTAGTCAATGTAAGGAATTGTTTTTGTTGACAGGTCACTTGGTCACAAATGTGTTGACTTTCTAATTTTTTTCTTGTTTTTAGGGCAGTAGTTCTTCAGAAAGAGCAAAATCCTTGGGATCATCACGTTCAAAAAGGTTGGTTTGGGAAATAAAAATAAATAAATTACTTTTTGGCATGTGAAACTATAGAAAAGTCCATGCGCTGTGCCAGATACTTCTAGTATATGCCAGTATAAATCCAGTAAGTTAGCAGAGTGCTTGTAAAACAAATGCCTCTTAGTGCACTTAAAATTCAAACCATCTTTCAGGGTCAAAGATTAAGATCATAAAGCTTGATTTTTATTAACAAAGACAACAAGATTATCCTGTGTCTTCAGGATGAAGGTGTTTATACAACTGTTCCTTCACTCTTGCTATTTCGATATGCAGGATTCTTCCAAAAATGTAAATTGGGTCATACAGAAAAAAGGCTTTATGTACCTTACTGGTGCTATTAAGTTGTCCCGTGCAGAAAATGCCATAAACTTTCTCTCTGCTTAATCCTATTTTGCTCTTTGAGTTAAAAAAGTATGGAGTTAACTGTTTACCAACCAGTTTGAACCTTTGCAGAAGACAAATTATTTGTGACTTAAGTAACTGCAGACTTACTCTGGTAAAACTCCTCCTCATTTTTGCTCTCAGCTGATGCTCATTCAAGTTTGGTCCTTCATGATTTTTTTTTAAACCCTAGTGTGCCATATAGATAGGTGAGCTCTTCTAAATGCACGATTTCAACAGCCGCCTGCTTACTGCGCTTTAGTAGTGTTGTGTGTTTGTTCACTCACCTTTTTATCCAAGTTTGTTTATTTTATTATGTCTGCTGAAATTAAACAGAAAAGGGAGAAGGAAAAATATTATTTGTCTTGATTCCATGTTTGCAAGTGTGATTTTTATATTTGGCTTTAATTTCTCCCTCATCTCCTGAAGCCAATGTCCCGCTGAACTCTTTTTCATTTATATCATTTTCAGTCTTGTTGTTTTGCCTCCTGTCTATCACTAAAGGTATTGTCACTCACACATTTATCGCACTGTGCCTGATACTGACAGAAACAGTATCCTGCAGTAGTTCCTGAATTACCAGAAGACTACTGAAAATTATGCTCAACATTCTTTTTTTTCTTTTTCTTTTTTCTTCCCTGCCCTGACATAGTAAATTCATTCATCTTAATGGATTCTGTTCTAAATTATATTTGCGTGAACTTCTGGCAACTGGTCTTCTTATTCAGCAGTCAGCATTTTCATTTCTGCATTTCCTTGATTTCCTTGCAAGCGTCTTTTCTGCCAGGCTGCTTTTTGTCATTTGCTAATTTCTGTTTGTTCTCTTTGCGCTGCCTGTTAAACTTGGAATGATGTATAAAATCCCTGAGCAGACGTTCACATGTGTTGCATTCAGGCTTTTTTCTTGAAAGCATGACTTTGCTGCATACCTTCTTAAAAACACATTGAACCTTGATATGACAAAAAATACGACAAGCCTGCAAAACAAAACTACTTTATTAGTGTATCTTTGTATTTCACTTAGGAGGGGAGAATTCTACCAAGAAAATTAGCCTACAACTTATTTACTGTAGTAACTCAGAGCATCCCACCTCATAATGTCTTAATTTAAAACCAACATAGGTTTCCCCAATTAGTACGATGTTTTGCTTGCAAAGCACCAGGCTTACCTGTATTGCACTATGTAATACTTGTCACAGTGTGGGTTTTTTTCTGTCTGTGCAGGAAACCTACAGTTGTAACAAAATATGTCGGATCAGATGATGAACAAATCTTAGATGAAACTGTAAATGAAGATATTTCAAATGAGAACTCAGAAAACGATGTTGATATGAAAAGCTTGCCTAAAGGTAGTTGATGTCCTTCTTTGTTTCTGAATTCAGCAAATGAGCCAAGATTATGATGCAGCATAAATAATTAACTAGAATGCACCTGTAGTAGTAAAATGCCTGTCTTGGGTCCTGTTGGCTTTTATATATAAACGTATGTGCTTATTCACAGACAACCCCCACCCCCAGTGCATGCGCATTTATGAGAGCAAACCAAGCACCTATAGTATTGAACCCAGCGTACTTTAATCTGTGTGTACACCAGGAGGTGCTGGTGGCTTAATTTCAAATGTCTACTCACTTTTGTATAAAACCAACATGAAACAGGGGAAATAATGTACTTCTGTTCTTTTGTAGAACTCTCAAACTCTGTCACTTGTAAGTCTTATGTATTTTACTGTTCTGTCTTTGAGGTTAATCACAATTACATCAACAAAAGCAAAACTAAAGTTTTTTTGGGGAATGTCATTATTGGATCTATTCTTAAGCACCCTTTTAAAACAATACTACAATCCTACATCCTGCTCTTATTAACTAACTATAGTGTGAGTTTTATTAACCTGCAGAAGGGACGGGAAAAATTGGAGGGACTGCTACTGTTTATGGCATGAGTAGCAGTATTTAAAGCAATAACTTTAAAATTATCTTTTCAGAACTTCAGATTATTTCCAGTGTCCTCACAACAAAAGTATTAAAACTGAGCTCTTAAGTAGGAAGGATGGTTTTTCATTCACATGATTGTGATTAGGACTCTTTTCTGTTTAAATAAAGTGAATTTCTGAATTTTGTTGAAGACGAACCAGGTTTTATTCTATTGTTATTTCACACTGAAATAAGTTAAGATGAGGGAAACTGTAGAAGTGGGAAAAGAGAGAAAAGAGTAGATACTCTAAAGGCTTTTGATAGACTTAAGTGACCCAACCAAAGTTCTTTATTTGTACCATTGCACTGCAGATTCCTGTACAGCACACACCCTGTATGACAGTCCTGTTCTGCACATACCACACCAGGGCAGAGAGAGCAGAGTTTGCTGCTCGTAGCCCATTCAGTTTTTGGCTGTTGACCTACAACTGCAAAACAGACCTAGTTTGAAGTGTGTTGTGGGGTTTTTGTTTGGTTGTTGGGTTTTTTTTCTTTTTTTTTTTTTTTTCATGGACATCTGTGCATTCAAAACTTTGTTGAGTTTTAGTCAGCAGATTGAATTTTTTTTTTAAGGTAATGTGTTGGCTTTTATTTAAACAGGACTTTTGCACTTCATTTGGATGTGTAATGGTTTCCAATTTCTAAATAAAATTATTCTAGGTACAGTGGTTGTACAGCCTGAGCCAGTGCTGAATGAAGACAAAGATGATTTTAAAGGGCCTGAATTTAGAAGCAGAAATGCCGTTAAAATGAAACCTGAAGCTCCCAAAAAGCGCGGAGGTAAATACAATTTGAAACATTTATTAAAATGGGTTTAAATTGTTGCGTATGACCACATTTGGTACATTTAAAATTGTTCATATTTCTAATAAATTATCCTAAAAATACCTCCACTCTTCTGGCTTTTTGCTCATTAAGGATTCTAGCTGGCTGAAATTAGCCTCCATTGCTGCCCCTGCAATGCAGCAGTGAAAGCTAAGATTAGTTCTCATTAAACTTCTTATTTTCAGTAGCTATAGGATGCATCATTAGGTACTCCATATGGACCCTTCTTGCTTTGTATTCAGAACAGTTGCCTGATTGCCATCAGGTGTTACAGGTATTCCTTTTTTAAGGAATTATATTGGAACACCATTGACACGGAAACATTCAGTGACTCACCAAGAAAGCAACCATATTTGAGCAGGAACATGTATAGGCATATTATCAATCAGTGAGCTAAGAAACCTAAAACCTGTAGCAATTCAACGACTTTGTTTTGTTTTGAAACTGTGGAAAATTCCCTACCAGTGGGCCTTTCTGAGGATTAACTTTGAAAAGCTGCTATGCCAGCTGGTTTTCCACAGCTGCTGCTAAAACTGAGGAGAAGTTAGGTAGATAACAGTGATAACAGAAATTAATCTCTCTCATTTTTTTCCAAAAAGTAAAAGAGAGGGAGGATTATGTGTAAAGTATCCAGTAAGAAGGCAGGTATTTTCATTAATACTTCTAGCAGTATCTTAATTCACACACCTACAGCAATACCCGGGATATTCAGACAAACAGCTCTTGTACACATCATTCATTCTTCCCATTGTATCATTTGAGACAGTTGCTCTCTTTTAAAATGTTGTTATAATTCAATAAGTGCTATTTCTCCATCTGTGGTTGAAGAGGAGTAAAATGTGATAGTGTAGAAATGTGCTTGTGCATACATATGGGCTCATGCATGATTTTAATCGCGTTTTGAGCGTTGATGTTTTCTCTAAATTATTAGTCTTTGAAAGTTCCCTTCTATTCATGCAAGATGCATATATTCAGAGTTTAGGAATGCTTTTTCCATTTGTGTTTATAACGATTTTGCAAGAGGTCCACTGTAAATCTTCAGGGGTATGGTGTTAACAAGATGGGTAGGACTCTTCTACTTGAGCTTGGTGCCCTGTGTCTGCATCCCCGGGACAACTCCCAGTTTTTTTTTCTCCATCCCTAGAGAATCTGCAGGCCTTCCTCTGACTGTCTGGACTGGTTACTCATGTGCTGGTGCCTGACAGAAGACAATAGTTTTGGAAGGGACATAAAGAGTTTGTTTAAGCCATGCCTTTATCCAGGGCCAGCTCAGCTATGTCCGTGTCATTACTGGTAGTCTTTGACTGGATTTTAAAGCTAGCCTGTGCATGAATTAAGCTCCTGTCAGCCTTCAGGGAAATAGGTACTGCCCGCTCCCATATCGTCCCATTTCCAGACGAAGAAAGGTAGCCAGGCGAGGGACGGGTCCAGTCTTCCTCAAGAGCAGCTGGATTGGGAAGGTATGGGAACAGCTTTGGTATGTGATATGCATGGAAGAGGTAGTGCAGATCCAGTTATTCTACACTTGCGTGCAGCAACTCTAGTTACCTGGAACGGCGCTTGCACTTCTGTTGCTGCTAGAGTGAGGTGCCTAGCCCATGCCTGTACAGACTTCAGCACTGCTGGTTTAAGCAGGCAGGTGTGTGTTCCCAGCCCCTGGAGATCCTGAATTCTACGCACAGTGCAAGCAAATAACAACAACGAAATAAAAATGCCAGTCTGTCTTGTGCTTCGTGTAGTGCATCTTCACATTTTTATTAGGAGTTTTATGTCCTGTTTATGTTAGAAGTAGTAGCAGTAACAGAACTCTTGCCTTTCTAGCATCTGCATGCTCTTACCCAAGACTGTCAGAGGCACTGTGTCAGTCCTTACTTTCCAGTTTTGTGTCTGCAGAACGATTATGGTTGTATTTTTGGCAATAAACTCATAGTTAGGAATGGTTTTTAAGCAAGTATTTTCTCAATATTAATGAATTAATAGTTGTTCAGTGTCTTTGGATCAGCATCATTTGTAGTAGTTAACATGGTTTACAAAGGGTTTTCTCATAAATCCCCCTCTTTTTTTCTGGTGCCAACTTGCAGATTTTAGGAAGGAGGCAGTAGTGCTTTCCCCTTAAAGATGTAGAGGAGGGGGAAGTGGCTCGGGATGTGACAGTGAATAGTTTATTCTCCATCAGCTGGGTGTTACCCTCTGTGATTACTACACCCGTGTCAGGACTGTGGTGTTTGACAAAGCCCGGGTAGGCTTCTGTGCTGCTTGGTGTGATAGAATGTGGTATTCTCTTCCAAGTAGTACAGTCTGACAGATGTATTTATTCAGTGTTTACCAGCAGCATTTGTGCTGATCTGAGGTCATAAGAGCTGCTTTGCAAGTCCCTGAGCTCTGCAGTGCATGCAATCATGCATGCATTGAAGTTGAAAACACCAAATCACACAGAATCACAGAGTGGTCAGGGTTGGAAGGGACCTCTGTGGGTCACCCAGTCCAACCCCCTGCCCAAGCAGGGTCACCCAGAGCAGGCTGCACAGCACCGCGCTCTGCTTCAGTTTGTGCCCGTTGCCCCTTGTCCTGTCGCTGGGCACCACTGGAAGGAGGCTGGCCCCATCCCCTTGACACCCACCCCTCAGATATTTATAGGCATTCTAAGGTCCCCTCTCAGCCTTCTCTTGTTCAGGCTGAACAAGCCCAGCTCCCTCAGCCTCTCCTGTATTCAAAATTTCAGACCTGCTATTTTGACAGAATTGTAAGGGTGTGTTAGCTGTTCTTAATGGCCTGTAAGCTGTTTGAGATTGTGCTTCAATAGCAAATCGTTAGTAGCTTCTCTTGTGCATTGAGAATGTTCATTCACTTCCTTAACATTGTGGTGTTGGTGCTTGGTTCTGATTCTGCCATAGTTAAAAGAAAAAAATAAGAATAGGCTGTAGTCAGACTATATCTATTAAGTTAACCATTTGAGTTAATTTCCTTTTACTGCTCACTGAGCATGACAGCAAAGGGCAACTCACTGTTAAGTGATCCTGTGTCAAACCTCTATCTGCTTGATCCCAAATGAAGTTTTTGAAATTGTATGAACTGAGCGTATGAGCTTTCACAAATGATTTTCCTTTTTCCTGAAAGCATCACTGATGCTAGAAACAGAATGGTCTCATAGTATTAATTAGTTGGTTTAACAGCCTGGCGTGCAGCAAGCTTCCAACCTGAAGTTCACCACCTTTCGAAGTGAATTTGGGGGACTGACATTAAAGAAACGCTTTGTTGACTGAGTGTAGATACGGCAGCAGAGTGGTACACAAACTGGGGGAGAAATCAGCAAGGTGGTGGGAACATGTAGGGTAGTAAAGTTGTAGTTTCAAAAAACAAAACAAAAACCATCAGCAAGAAGGGAACAAAAAGTGAAACAGGGTTTCTCAGGCACTATTATAAGGATTTCATGCATCTCCTGTAATGATTTCCTGTATTTTTCTTTGAGAAACTAAGACTGTGTGTGCAAGAAATACCATGATACAAATATGAATTAAAATGGTGTTTTATGAACAAAGATTAAATGAGAAAGGTTGTACAGAGTATCAGGGCTGCTTTGAATAAGTTCTAGTGATGACTCTTATTTAGGTGTGTTCTCATGAGGTGACCAGTTAATCCAAATTAAGTGTCTCAAAGGAAAAAAAATTGTAACTTGGTCCAAAGTGAAGTATAGAAACGAGAGGAAAATTTTTTCAGTCTTTAAATGGCGAGTGGTTGCAGAAGGATTTCTTTGATGCTGGATGGTAAAGTAATAAAGGCATATGAAAAACTGAACAGACCAAAATATTGTAAGAAAATGAAATAGGTATATACAGATTTCTTAAAAGAAAAAAAAATGAAAACAATTAATGTGTGGTTTATAATCCTCTTCTATAGAGGAAGGACTACATGGAATTGTAAGCTGTACAGCTTGTGGGCAACAGGTGAACCATTTTCAAAAGGATTCAATCTATAGACATCCTACACTGAAAGTTCTTATTTGTAAGGTATGTGGTAAACAGTTCTACAGTTTGTACTGTTTGTTTTTGTTTTAAATGTCATATTAGCTGATTTGGGTGGGATTTTTGTGGGAGTAGTTCGTGTTTGTTAGACAATAAACTTTTCAGTCATTAACTGTTACAATTAAGGAAACTAGAAAACAAAAAGGCAAATAAAGCTTACAAATTTATATTCCTGTTTGGTTATACCCCAGTTAAACTTGTTGTGGTTTCTTTGTAATTTATTTTTACAGTTTTAAGACTGTAATTTCAGTGATTTTTTTTATGTTAAATGTTCTGTCTGAAGTTTCTATGTATTCATAATGTATTATAAGAGCAGATTCAATTCTGGTTCTCCTGGTAAAGCATTGTATGTAAAACAACGTTGGAGTAAGAAGCGGAAAAGTGGCTTCAAAGCCATCTCAGTTTCACTTGTGTACAGCTGCTTGACCGTTTTAATTTATGGCAGCCTCTCTAATGATGGTCTAGTCCGTAACTCAAACGCACCTCTGGGTCTTCAGCTACATGGTTTCATGGTGGCTTCAGTTAGGCCCTGACTTGCCTGCAGTGGGGAACGGGGGAGGAAGGAAACATCCCTACCTCCTGTTTTGGAGACCTCTTTTAATTTTCAAAGAAAGAGAGTTATCTCTTGCGTATCTCTATAGTTGTAAAGATTCCGTGTTTATAAAGATACATATCTCTAAAGACAGAGAGATACAGAGCTGTGTTACAATACACATTTAGTGTTCCCCTTCTCTTCCCTCCTTCTGCTTCTCCAATTCCCAATTAATATTACATAGTCAGCTGACATAATATCAGGCATGTCCGTCTAGCCTGGTGTTCTGGCTCATTTCTTCTATTCATTTTGGCTTGTTTCTTTTATAAAATATGCTTTAGAAAAATTGGCTTAGAAGATGACTGTTTTCAATCTGCACTGGAGTCCTAACTCTCATTCCTAGATTTGAAAGTCCTGAACATGTAGCTGTACATGTTCTGCGATGCATGCAAGTTACCCACTTCATTTTTGAAACTTGTTTAGAGTGTTGGGTTCAATACCAGCTCTTGACTGTGAGCTCTGCTAGATAATTATATCACGTGTTGTTTCCCATAAATTTTCTGTATCTTTACTTAACCGAGCATGGTCTTATGTTAATGTGAGAGAGAGGAATGGAAGTCCCTGAGCTGCATACCCTGCATCTTCCATTAGTTTCTGTGCCTAGTTCTTTCCTTACTTTTCTCCTGCTTAGGTAAACAGTCCCAGATTTCAGAAGCTGTTTTCCTTTGACGATAAATGTTCCATCGACTGTCTAAACATCAGCTTTTAATGGGATTTTCTGTTGTTTGGTTTTGTTTGTTTAGTTTAGTTGAACAGGTGTATAACTCTGTTCCAGGTAAAAGGGCATTGTCATTCTAAAGTCGGGTGTGGAATCATAGAATCATAGGATGGTCGGGATTGGAAGGGACCCCTGTGGGTCACCCAGTCCAACCCCCTGCCCAAGCAGGGTCACCTAGAGCAGGCTGCACAGCACCGCGTCCAGGCAGGTCTGGAATATCTCCAGAGAAGGAGACTCCACAGCCTCCCTGGGCAGCCTGTTCCAGGGCTCCGTCACCCTCAGAGGGAAGAAGTTCTTCCTCATGTTC